CACGGCGTGGGTGTCTTGGGCTGCCGTCGCTTTCTTGGCTGAAGGATCGACGGACTTGAAAGCGCGGAGTGTGGATGGAGTCATCGACGCAAAGTCATATAGTTTGAGTGTGCAGTCGGTAGAACCTGTGATTAGTCGCGCCCCGGAGGGGTCCACGGTCATGGTGGTCACGGCACGCTCATGAGCCTTGAGAACGAGCTCATGCGATACGGGAAATTCATCCTCATCATCATCTGAATCGTCAGAGTCTTCATCGCTATTATCATCACTGTCTTTTTGCTCATCGTCGCTCCCTCTTGCTTGTGCGCTAGGGGCTGTTATGCCAGTGCTTAGTTCATTGCCCTCGGGTTTCGGAGCCGAAACATTGGCACGCTTCGATCGGTCGATCTGGGATTCAACATCAACCGATTTGGCCTGCTTCCCAAAGCTAGAGGGAAAGAACTTGTTGAATGCCTCCTCGTCGAATTCATCCATGATTGAGTGTGTGCGAAACTTTGCGACAGATGGAGGGAGAGGCTTCGACCTGATAGTGAGCTTGTTTGCACTGTTTGCAATCTTTGAACGATAAGCCGAAGTGCTTGGCGCGCGCAATGCTCGCGTAGTGCCTCTGTACAAGAGACGATGTATGTTCTTTAATGTATGTTTACGGGTAAATTTAAGGAAATTGCTAAGTGTTGCGCCCTTTAGATTCGTTCGTTACTCGATTATTACAATACACAGGGACCTAACTGAGTACAGGTCTCCAGCGCAAGCACTCTGGCACTCTACCCTCGAAAGGATTACCAGCGCTTACAAGTACAGACCCTCCACAGGACCACCGTCCTGCTTGGTCTTCATGATACGCTCACGAGCAGCCCGGAAATCGTCCATCTGCACCCTCATCCGGCGCTCTCTCAGGGCCATCAAACCAGCTTCGGTACAGATGGCGCGGATGTCAGCACCAGAGAGATCATCTTTCTGGTTGATGAACTCCTCAAGATCAACGTCATCACCGAGAGACATCTTCGATGTGTGCAGAGTGAAAATCTTCTTCTTGGTGTTTTCTAAAAAAAATTGTTAGCAAGCCACAACAAAATAATAGGCATCGAGGGTATCATATCACTTACGGTCTGGGTTCTCGAAGAGAATCTTACGGTCGATACGACCAGGTCGGATCAAAGCTGGGTCCAGGGTTTCAATCTTGTTAGTGGCCATAATGACCTTCACGTCACCACGATCATCGAATCCATCCAGCTGGTTCAGAAGCTCGAGCATGGTTCGCTGGATTTCTCTCTCACCACCAGATTGTGATTCGTATCGCTTCGTACCGATAGCATCAATCTCGTCGATGAACACAATTGATGGTGCATGATCAGCAGCAACTGAGAAGATCTGGCGAACCAAGCGGGGGCCATCACCAAGGTACTTCTGGATCAGCTCACTGCCAACAATGCGGAGGAAGGTTGCGCTGGTCTGGTTGGCAACAGCCTTAGCAAGTAGTGTCTTTCCGGTACCTGGGGCACCGTAAAGAATAACTCCCTTGGGAGGCTTAATGCCCATCTCTTCATACAGCTCGGGGTGTAGCAAGGGCAGTTCCACGGATTCTCGAACTTCTTGGATTTGTTGCTCCAGACCACCGATATCAGCGTACGATTCTGTGGGCGCCTTGTCCAACTTCATCACCGAGACAAGGGGATCAGACTCCTCCGTCAGTACACCGACAACAGACACTGACTTGTGGTGTAAAAGGATACTGGCACCCGGCTCGAGGAGATCTTTATCGACGAAAGACATGATGGATACGTAGTACTCAGGGCCGGTGGCGCTTGAGACAATAGCATGGTCATCATCAATCAACTCTTCCAAGTTGCCGACACCCATCGGGCTGCCTCGCATGTCATCGACTCGACTCCGCTCATCGGCGTTCCGATCCATCACATCCAGGTCACCACCTCCCCTGGCGGGATCCTGGGTGGCCTGGGCCTTGGCCTTGCGCATTCGTTCCATGTTCTCAACGTACTCTTCTTCTAACAGCAGGTGGTCGTGAACACGCTGCATGCGAAGATATCGGAGCTTGCATCGCGATGTAGGGTAGATATCGGGGAGCTTGGAGGCAGTGCTTGGGCCGGCAGCCTTGCGCTTCTTCTTTCCAAGACGAGTGGTAGGTGGTGGGGGAGGTTCGTATTTGGGCTTGTCCTTCTGATGAAAGAAAGACGGTCTCAGCGCTAGTTGTGTAGTAGAGGAAACGAGTAGGAACATACCTTCTTATCCTTGTCATCGCGTCCATCGCCTCCAGGGCCACCGCCCAGGTTAGACTGCTGTTGACCCTAGTTTTGAATGTTAGAATGCAAATCGAGATGGCCACCCAAAGGCTGGCAAGATTGGGACACTCACCATGTTTGTCAGCCACCGAGAGGGAGACAATCAGAGTCCCTGGGTGTGAAGTTGCAAATTGAATAAAAGTAGGGTGAACCACGAGCCTTAAGTGGTATGGAATGATGAGAAAGGCTAGTCGAAAGGGATGGATTGTCAATGCAGATGTGGTGGTATCGCTGGAGGTCAGACGCTGGGCGAGCTGGAAGCTGTTAGGTCTACACGTGACTATATGCGCCTCAGGCCGCAACTGCGTCATTCACGCCTTGTTGCCTTAAACGCCGGCACCTTGCTTGTACCTAAGACATTCTCAAAGACAATCAAACAAATTTATATCCACCGAGGCTCTATACTGGGATTTATTTACCTTACAAAATTCAGGCTTAACACTCGTGTTTCTTTTCTTTCTCTCGAAATCTATATCTCACGTGCATATAAGAGGGAACAGGTGACAAGTATCTGAGCTCATCTCTCATGCTGATTTTCTGTATAGTTCCCCTCCTTACATAGGTGAGATCCTCGTTTATCTTGACTTTCTTTCAGTTCCCTAGAGAACTTGACTTTGTACTCTGGTTGTGATATTTTCTGGTTGATCTGGAGGTTTCCTAACACCCATCCTCCTACTATTAGCCCCACTTCGCCTTCCTCTCCACGGCAGTTTCGCTTTTGTGCAGTCTCTTGGACAAGGCGGAAATAGATCTATTTGACCCCACAATTTACACATAAAGTGGTCTTATCCTTCAACATCTCTTATTTGACCTCTTTCTGGAACAAGCCCTCGAATCATCATGGCTAGCAATCGTATGCGTCGCATTGGAAAAGAGATTGCGGACATTCACGCCGATGCCCACTCTCAAATCAAGGTCGAGCCATTTGGCAACCAGGACGATGTAACTCACCTAAGGGGTTCATTTCCAGGGCCACCCGGTACCCCGTATGAAGGTGGTACCTACGATATCGATATCAAAATCCCCACCGACTACCCTTTCCGCCCACCTACCATGAAGTTCGAGACCAAGGTGTGGCATCCAAATGTCAGCAGTCAAACAGTCAGTGCCCTCTTCACGACATCCATATGAAAGAGAAAAGCAACTAGGTTCTAACAGCCAATGTAGGGTGCAATCTGCCTCGACACGCTTTCCAGTGCTTGGTCACCAGTTCTGACTATCAAGTCCGCTCTGCTTTCGCTGCAATCTTTGCTCAGCACACCTGAGCCCAAAGATCCCCAAGATGCTGAAGTGGCTAATATGCTTCTCAAGTCACCCAAGGAATTTGAACGCGTTGCACGCGACTGGGCAGTCATCTATGCTGGAGCTCCCGCGGGTAGTGCTGACAATGGCAGCGGATCAAGCCTAAACGACACCCAGCAAGGAGCTGGCGAAGACAGTCTTGTAAAGTGAGTCGTTCTTCTTGGCATTTGTTGGGTATTTTTACTGATTATTATCTATAGATATGATGGATACAACAAGAATTTGATCGACCGTTTCACCAGCATGGGCTTCGACGTTGATCGTGTTGTGGCTGCTTTCCGATATGTCGGTGCCGACCGACGAGGAGGTCAATATTACGAGTTGGAAGAAGGTAGGATGGGTGATATTGCTGCCCGACTTCTCGGTGAGTGATGTATATTCTAGTGTTTGTGGAGAATTCGGGATGAAATGCGTCAAAAAGCAAATATGTACATGTATGTATTATCTGGCACTTAAGACTTTTCTCCTTTCCTTTTGGTGCCTCGTCCTTGTCGCTTTTTGATCATCGGGACGTCTTTATTTGCTTACTGAACATGAACTGCGTATGACCTTGGAAGGGGGAGTGACCTAAGTAGGCTAAATCAATAAAAATAGGGGATTGATCCAGTCACCCCCCCCCTCTTGGATACTGGCACACCCCTATGCCTAATTTATGCCTGATCCTGCCTGATTCCTTAAGCATTAATATATTCCGCCAGATATAATTCTACACTTTTGAATTCTGGTTTATATAGTAAAGAACGTACGTTTCTAGTCAGAATTAAATACTTATTTCGACTGGTTTTATACTTTTTATTTCTAAATAACACTTCTTTTCTCTCTATAATACTTACTTAACTTCCTGTCCCTCGCTATATCTATGTCTACGTCTACGTTAGACTGCGGCATATCCTCTCCATTGGATATTGGATCACATACAAGGTCAAGGCTAGCGGTACCTTGGTAGTCCTATTCTAGTAGCAACCGAAAACTTTATCACCTTCCTCAGTATAGTATCTAAAGATGCACTTTATCCGCTTTTATCGAAGGTAGTTCAGTCTGTAAAAAAGGTAATAGATACTAATTTCGAAGACCGCGGTAAGATCATTTAGTGTTTAATCGCATTGAATAAAATTCGAGCTACTGAGGAAGCGTGTACTTTCATTTGATATTGAACAGGCCTATCAGGGCTTCAAGGCGACTTTAAACTAATTTGGGGAATCATTTACTCTGGTGCACCGGCAGGGCGTTCGCGTGGGCAGTAGAGATACTAGATACATGTACTATGTATCAAAACGCTCATTAGTGATTGCTAGCATAATATACCTGTATAGTACCAGGAATTTATTTTTGCATTTCTGCTCCGCTATGACTAAGTTCATACCCTCTATCTGCTATCTGCTATATGTTGAAGGCAACCTACAGGTAAGACTGCTTAGAGTAAAATAAAAGCCCTATTCCGATCTCGGGGGGGCTGTAAAACCCCCAGTGTGCCAAGTATCTCTCTAGATTGCTCGCACTTGCAGCCTTAAACTCCTCCAGCTTCTCTGGTGTTCTCTTTTCCAAAAAGGTGTCTATAAACCAATAGGCCTCGCACAGATCCTGAGAGAACCACCATATATCTGCTATATCTCCCGCTTTATCGATCGTAGATGGCTTTTTAGCTCCTACGTCAGACAAAGCATTTTCCCATGCTCGAGCAAGTTTCCACTTATCTTCGACCCCTTCCTCTTCCTCCGCAAATGGGAACCCCTTCAAGATATATTTGCGTAGAGGGTCATTAGGATCGGAGCTTCCAGGAAGTAAACCATCTAGATCCCAGAAGGAAAACAAGTACTCAGAGATTGGCGCACCAATATGAGCGAAGTCAAAGTCTAGAACTGCACTTAGGCGGTTGCTTCTGCGATTGAAGAGTAGGTTCGACATGCCTAGTAGAGAATAGATAGTTAGATATTATGTTAAAACAAAGAAGATATCTTAAGTAGACATACATAAGTCTGCATGTATCAGAGTTGGCCGTTGTTCGGGAATTTCATCTAGAAGCCGGCCGAGCCCACGAGTAAAGAAGTCGTCTAATCGTTCCCGTAAACCAGGTATATCCCGCCACCCATTCAGATAAGCACTTCGGTCGCTCATTTTCAGTTGCCAGATACACATTCCTCTAACAAATTGTGGATAGGTTTGGAAGGGTCCACCACAAGGTAGAGTTGAGATCGTATTCACGATTTCACCTTGCTCATCGAACTTCAAGCCACCATACATACTAACAGCTTTAGGAAGTTGATAATCCTGGAAAGCTTTCACAACCTGTGCAATCTGATAAAGCAGTGACTTCCGAGTATCGTGATCTAGTGCAAGGATCTCATCTGGGCTTAGCGAGTCCCCTTCCATAAATTCTTCAAGGATCCAGCTAAGAGACAAGGGATCGGTAGATGTCCTATCTTCCCATCTCTTATCCTCCCATCCGAACACTCGTGGGATCACTGAGGCATCTATAGCAGATAATGCATCGCGGGCTAAAGCGAGGAACGCAACTTCATTCCGAATTCGCACAGAATTCTCTAAGTTCACATTGTTCTTAGAGATTCGTAGCACCATTTTCGAGGTCCCTACTGGGATTACCGAGGTATAGGGCTTTAAAACCCCAGTCTTGGTCCGCCCTAGCTCTGCGAGCGGCTGCTCTAGGTGAATAAGGTAGACATGGTTGTTCTTCGCCTTTTCCATATCCTCGATTGTAAAATCATTCTTCTGGATTCCGAAGTGCATCGCAACCAAGGAGGCCGCAAAATCATAATGTTGGCTCTTGAGAGTGGTCATCATGAGAGGTGGCAAGGGAGTGTGTGTTTTCCGAGAATTCGAGAATAAAAGCATCAAGATTCATATTGTGCCGTACTTCGTCCTATATATGAAAGATTATAGGGAGTCCGACGGACACCGATATACACTACCTTGCTCTTTCGAACCCTGTAAATGGCTCCAATTTGGGACACGACACGCTATTCCAGATACAGGCCTAAAGCCTTCCTCGGTGATCCCTTATTCGGCGAATCGCACCACTCAGCAGCGAGGAGCAATTGCAAACAGAGAGAAAAGCTACCATTCATCACCAATATTCTACCCTACCACGACAGCTCGAGAAGACCCAACTATGCATGCACGCTACCAATATAAAAAACAATATTTTTACAAGTTCATATATTGATTTAGTTAAATACAAATCCTGAAATAGTACTAGAAAAATACCCGAAAATGACACCTATCAATCTTCGTCAACCTCCTAATTAGGAGGCTGGTATTTATTGGCAGTAAATCTAATAATCAACGCTTGTGGCATGCTATGGGAGCGGGCTGGCACCTCACTCCCATCTCTTGGCACTCCCATGGGACCAAGTGATGGGAGTTGGCAAGGTCTAAAGTCGAGTAAGCATTATAGAGAGAAACGAAGTGTTATGTAGAAGTAAAAAGCATAAAACTAGTCGAAATAAGCATTTAATTCTAACCAGAAGGTACATTCTTTACTATGTAAACCAGATTTCAAAAGTGCAGGATTAAATCTGGCAGAATATATTAGTGCTTAATATCAGGGTGTTCCTTTTGGGATTCTGTACAAGGTTTCCTGAGTTGATGCCCGGTCAAAATATCTGGTTTGGAAGTGGCCTAGGGAAATCATATATAGAAGCCTTGATACCGGGCGAGCGGTATGAGCTAGTGTGGCCAGGTGATGAGATCCATTAGTAGAGATAGGATACTATCGATGAAAGTTTTGCCAATCACCCCGATCCTCCTGCCCGAGCAATTCTTCCTGGGCCGCATCGTCGTTGATCGACCTAAACCTCCAGTCTAGAAACGCCAAGACCGAAGTGGTCCGCTGTTTGTTGGAGACTTGGAATTAGGGAAGTAAAGAGTAGCATACCCGGCCTGTTTTATTTCACCATAACGATGGTATGAACTACGGGTTTAAGGACCTCGTTTGGACAGGCCGGCCTATAGTCTTGCCTGCATCCAATACCTTGGAATTTACCGTTGTGGAATGATAGATTACACTCGTTCTTATAATTTAGTAAAGGAGGAAAGAAGGCACCCGTTCCGAGAGGATTTTTGATAATATAAGGCAGTGCAAGAACGGAAAACTTGAACTTTGCGAGTTTGCCCAGCGGCTTCAGTCGTTCATGAGTGTCTACGCCCTAGCTATGCTGTGCGAGACAACTCATAAGTCACATATGAGATGTGAATGGATTGTATTGGGCGGTTTATGTATGTCGAATATTTGTGACATGGTTGTTAATCGATATTAAAAGCAATAAAATATGACGAAATAGAAACAAAGTGATGGTTTGATGTCCCTCAGGTGTAGGCACCTGGGCAGAATTGGAGTGAGGGTGTTATCGATAAGCACCAGCTCTGACCTCCGGGTCAAAGTGGATGAATTGCTGGTCCTCATGGAGAATTGTCAAATACTTATTCTCATATATAGAACGGCCCTGCACTTTCCACCTCTTCTTACTCGGGATTTCTCTTAGGTGATACTCTAACTAGCCGGTCGTTATCCCCGTCCAAGAATAAAGGGTTCTAGCCTTTGATTCTTCCAAGTCAAGAGCACCAACACTATGATTGAAGACGACATTTACCGTGCCTCGTCCCAGTACCGACTGTGGTCATACACGGAGCCATCTCTACAATCTCTCCGAGCCTCGACAAATGCCGTTGCCAGCGAGCGCGTGCGCGCCGCTTTACGCAGATCGCGCGAAACTCATCAGTCGACCGCATCCTCCGCGGCGGGAACACCACTACCGGAAAACAATACGGATATCAAGAACAAAGATGAAAAAGATGTCGAATGCTTGACACCGGAGGAGGAGCTTGTGCTCGTGCGGTATTACTGCGAGAAGACGCTGGAGCTGGGAGAGACATACAAACCACCAATCCCTACAATGGTCCGGGTATGTTAAGCTCCAGGGCACTTCCTGCTCACCTTGAAAGTCATCGCAAATAAAGCCCAAGAAGCTGACTTTTCTCATTCTGTGTATACAGGCCACCGCAATCCAATACCTCCGCCGCTTCTACCTAACCAATTCACCCATGACATACCACCCAAAGTCGATCATGGCGTGTGCGCTCTTCGTCGCGACCAAAACCGATAATTACTATATCTCTCTTCGGCAATTTGCAGATGGAATTCCTGGTGACACAACGACAGAGGATGTCATCGCACCAGAGTTCCTACTCATGCAAGGACTCCGTTTCACTTTCGATGTACGGCATCCATTCCGGGGACTTGAAGGCGGCGTCATGGAACTACAAGCCATCGCACAAGGTCAAGGACAGGCAGCCCCCCATCTACCATATGAAACTGCCGAGGACCTCCAACAAGGACTGTTGTCCATCGCACCTCCTCCCGTCCCATCGTCCTCAATGTCAGATCGAATTGCCCGGGCCCACGGCACAACTCGTGAGCTGTTGAAATCCGCCGCGCAGATGACAGACGCCTACTTCTTGTACACACCATCCCAGATCTGGTTTTCCGCCTTTTTACTAGCGGATCGTCCCCTAGCCGAGTTTTTGCTAGATGTCAAACTTGGTGGTCCTGTCACAGCCACAATCCCCGCCCCCGAAACAGACGAAAATGGCCTGGTGAACCCTCTATACGAAATTCGCTCCAAGCTACATCACGTCTTGAGTGAATGCTCTGCTCTTCTCCAATCCTACACACCACTCTCCTCCGACCCCGCACAAATGAAGAGCCTCAAGCGCATCGCAAAGAAACTATATCATTGTCAGAACCCCGAGAAGGTGAATCTGGCTGCCGCTCAGAAACGGGAGTCGGCACAACCATCTGCCGCTGTTCAAAGCGATACTGGAATAGTCACTTCCGAGAGCGAAACAGAACGTCTGGCGAAAAAGCGGAAGTTAGAACAAGAACAGATACTCCGTCAGGATGGTGATGTTTTCGGTCCGGAGTTGGTCACTCAGCGAACAAAGCAGTAATGGTCATTGCAAGCCATTGAATCTAAGTCCACAAATATCTTAATATCAAATACCAAAACCGACAAACACTACTAGATGCACCGAACGTCAGATTACGAGACTTATATGTACCCTACAAATCCATAAGCAGCCTCAACACTATATGTAAAAAATAAACATAAACACAAAATATATTCAAAAGGGCAAATTATCCAAAATATCCACCAAAATATCCGCAACTATCAAAGGCGCCGCATCACCGGTAGCAAACTCATCTTTAATCACGGTCAGTTCCCACTTAATCGAGAAGCAAATATCCTTAATAGGAAGCGAACCCCAACGGATACGCACGCGGTTATCATCGCGGATCCCGAATCCGCCGACCTCACCCAGGAATCCGATTTGAATGACCCGCTCGCAGAGCTCCTCTAGTCGTGTGCTCATCTCCTCCATGTCAGGACTTGGGGATGAGCTCAGCAGGGCAAAGACTTGACATTGGAGCTTGTGAGTGAAGGTTTCGCAGGCTTGCGTGTAGATCTGTTGGAAGTTGTGGGGGCGTATGCGAGCTCCGTCCATTATGATGGTGGGTATGTGTAGCTACGTGTAGAAGTTAATTCATGTATTAGGGCTTACCTAGTTTTGGTTTTGGTTGTGGTTGTGGGAAATCAGATGGGATGGTAGATAGGATGGGAATTGTAGTGAGATTGAGGGTATTTATATACTGTTTTGTTGATGACTTGGATTTCGTTCTTTGTGAGAAAAAGGGGAGAAGACAATGAGGGCTGTTATGGCCATTGTTTATGTTCTTTGTCCGGTGCATCGCCACGGTGTGTTCTATTAGCGTTGGAATAAGATAACACAAAAGAGACGAAAGGCATTGGCAATTCCTGAATCGGTCCTATGGCCAGCCATCCTCGGAGTCATGACAACACTGCTGATGAGGAAGAGTACCCAGATAGGACATGGACAAGATATGTATCAAGAACAAGTTTGAATCATGTTTACAAGTAGCACCATATGCGAACACTGAGATATTACATCCTATTCTTCAATATAGCGAGAATCACATATACTTCAGACTGGCATCCCTTATATTCACCTCGGAAGAGAGGACCAGGTACTCTATCAAGGATGCATGACAAGACAGGAAAGTGAAAAAACAGACGGATCGAATCAGGGGTAATGAGTTCATAGCAAACGCAAAAGTCCAATCCTCCATTACCCAAAATCTATTCGGAAAGGGAGGAAGGACAAAACTATCTAACGGACAAAAAGAAAATAAATGAAAACCATCCCAATCCAAGGAACCTTTTGTTGGAATGTCCCTTTTGCGGGAAACCAAACTTTTAGTGCCACAATATGGGCATTTGTATTCCTTCAGTTCTCGTCTAGCATTTCGTCATCAATAAGGGGGAAAAAAAAGAAGTTGAACAAAGTTGAACAGAGAGAATCAATAAAGCCCTTAAACGGCACCAGCAGACACCATCTTGTTACGGAGGTAGTTCTTGTAGTCACCGATGGAACCATCCCAGCGGCGGATAGTCTTGTCCTCACAGACCATGATGTCCTTGGCAATCTTGTCAAGGAGACGGAAATCGTGAGAGACAACGACGACACCACCGCTGAAGGCGTTGATGGCATCGGCCAAGGAGTCAATGGTGGGGATATCGAGACCGTTGGTAGGCTCGTCAAGAAGAATCATGTTGGGGGACTCGATGGCAAGCAGAGCGAAGACGATACGAGACTTCTGACCCTCGGACAAGGTACCCATGAGGGCGGTCTGGCCCTCACCACTCAGACCGTAACGGCCGAGCTGCTGGCGCCAGTACTGGTAATCCTGGGACTTCTCGGGGAAGCGGTCACGGACGAACTCCAGGGCGGACTTGGTGAGATCAAGCTGCTCGGAGGAGTGCTGGCTGTAAACACCGAGCTTCAAGTGAGTGTGACGGGAGACACGACCACCGATGGGGCTGAGCTTGCCGGTCATGAGACGGAGCAGGGTAGACTTGCCGACACCGTTGGGGCCGACCAGGGCGGTACGGGAGTCCATGTCGACACCGAGGTCGAGGTGCTCGTACAGAGTATCTTCCCAGTTACCGGAGTAAGAGAAACTGACATCGTCGAAGGAAAGAACTGGGGGAGGAAGCTTCTCAACATCGGCGAAACGGAAGGTGAAGACACGGTCGGCAACGACGGGCTGAATGAAACCATCGGCCTCCATCTTGTCGAGAATCTTCTGGCGAGACTTGGCTTGACGCACCAAGTTAGCGTAGGTACCAGCGGAAGCAATGAACTTCTTGATGTGCTGGATTTCTTCCTGCTGCTTGGTGTAGGCCTTGGTCTGGTTGGTCTCCTGCTCGCTACGGGTCTTGTGGTAAGAATCGTAGTTACCACCGTAGTAGAGGAGCTTCTGGCCACGCATATCGAGCATGGTGGTGCAGACACCGTTCAGGAAATCCATGGAGTGAGAAACCAGGATCAAAGTACGATCCCACTTCTTGAGGTACTCCTCCAGCCACACGCAAGCCTCCAAATCCAAATGGGCAGTGGGGTCATCAAGCAAGAGCAAAGAGGGCTTGACGAACAGGGCCTTGGCGAGGGCCACACGCATACGCCAACCACCGGACATGTCCTTGGTCTTCTTGTTGATGGTGTGCTTGTTGAAACCGAGACCGGTCAGAATGAGGGAAGCACGAACGTGGAAAGTGGAAGGATCCATCTTGTCCATGCGCTGTATAGGATAGTTAGCTTCTGTTCTAGAACCAAAAGGAGAGTACTAGATCTCGAAAAATACGTACGTCATATAGGTCTTCAAGGATAGGGCTGTCAGGACCCTCGTCCTCAAGAACCTGCTCGGCCTTCTTCTCCATATCATCCAACTGGCGTTCAGCCTCACGGACAACCCAGTCAAGGGCACCGAAGTCGGTGGGGGGTGCACCCTCGTTCAGAAGGTAGATATCGATGTGCTCGGGAACGGGGTACTCGCGGGCAGCAATGGACTTGAGGATAGTAGACTTTCCGCAGCCGTTCTCACCGAGGAGACCGTAGCGACGACCGAAGGTCAACTCGAGAGTGGAATCGGTGACCAGGACCTTTCCGTGGAACACAAGGGAGCAAGAGGTGATCTTAACATCGCGAGAGGCGGGCAGAGATGACAGCACACCGGTGGTGACACGATCGGACAGACCGTGCTTATCCATCTGGGCTGTGAGCTTATCAACGGCGGACTGATCCTTAGTGGCGGGCGCATCCTCGACGATGGGGTTTCCGTGGGCATCGAGCTCGACCTTGGCGGCCTTCTTGGGCTTCTTCTCGTCGGCACGCTTGGCCATGCGGGCAGCCTTCGAGGCGGAAACCATGGTTGCGGGTGTGACGGTATAAAAAAAAAGGGGGTTAAAAAAGAAGTAAGGGAACACGAAAGTCACAGGGAGGGAGAGGAGAAAGGATGACACTGCGAAAAGAGATTGAAGAGAAATGCAAAAAGGCTGAGTGGATCGCCTGGCGGGGCGGACAGGGAAATGGAGGGGCGTAGAGCAGTGGAGTTGGTGGTTTGCCCTTATCGATAGAATCCTATCGATTGTGAGTTTAAGAGAAAATAAGAAAGGAAAGTAGAAAGTAGAATGTACTTTTCTCACTTATAAATTTATTTATTTTTGCCTAAAAGTGAGGATGAGTTGGCAAAATTCAAGTGATCAACTTTTTTTCAAACAAAAAAAAATCCATCGGTGGGCCGTGAACAAGTGGATTTTGATTGGGAGAGACGTCACCGTAGTCAATGCCTAAGGTGTCGATTTGCCACTTTGATTTGTGTGATACGCGACTGGACCGATAACAGGAGGGGCTATGTTTGGTTTGGAGAGATAACATGAAACTAAATGATTTAATCTATATCTAGGGCCTCCCCTTTAAAGTCTTTCACTAATCTTTAGCAACACTTCTTGCTCCTCGGCCGAAAGCAACATCCCATCAGGCACCGAAATATCACCGTGTTCTACTATCAACCGCCGAGGAACATCAGTCAGACTATCCTCATAATGACTAGGAACACTAGGTGTTTCCTTGTGAATAGCCGTTTCAACATCCCCTCGAGATGGCGACAGAGGATGTGACGTCCACCAGTACAAAGGATACCGACGCTGGATATTGTTGATGATCACAGCCACAACCTGCATAACCGTGACTCCAAGCAACATGACTGGGAACAGAAACCAGCCCAAAGCAACAGTCGGAGAGTGTGTCACTGCCAGAAGAGCAGTTGCACCCGCCGGTGGGTGTGTAGTACTGGTGAGAATCATGACGGCCGTGGTAAGAGCACAAGCAAGAGCACCCCCAAGCTCAGTATACGCTTCAGCACGAGGATCTAAGGCGAACAACTTCGATATCCCGACACCAAAGAAACAGGCAATGACCTGACTCAGGATTGCATTACGTGGTTGTGCGAAAGGTGACTCGATCACACCGAATTCAATAACTGCCGCCGCACCCTATTATCAAAGAGTCATAGGAGTCAGCCTTGGGGATGTTCTTATTCCACGCTCGGCTCTAGTATCAGACCCGCCATGACTTACAAAACTGCCAACAATCACTGTCGCATCACGCGCTTCAAAAGAAGGCACCCGTTTCGAAACAGATGCCACCAAGGCCACCCCGCAAAACGCCCCAACTAACGACCACAGTGCCACCAGGACGTTGCCTATTGGTTTAGAAGGTCTGTCCCGGTATCCCATCATATATGCAACCGGTCTTGGTACGAGATGCCATCGTGGTGCCGGCACAAACGGGTTCAGATACCGATCGATATCGAAGTTCCAGGTCGTCGGGCGGGATAGCGTTACCGGTCCATGCGGGGATGGTGCCATGCTGAACTGCTGCGATATGCAAATATGCTCTAGGCTCTGGTAGGGTTTCTAGTGATCTGACAGCAGCACCAAACCTCACGAAGACATCTCACTGTGGGGTTCAGCCTTGTCGGGGAATAAAGAAAGAACCTTCCATCGTATCCCGGTTAGTGAGCAATACCTCATCTGTGCGGTTTAACACGCAACCCTTCTCTCTTTCTCCGCGGATGTCAAATCTCCCGACGTCCCCAAGGTGTTGATGCCAGGTCCAATTTCTTGTCCACTCAGCGGATTTACATTTAGTAACATAAACTACCGTTTGGGACTAGCGGCTTGGCACAGCGTCATTGTTCCGGCTTGACGATATTTCCTATTCCGTCTGCATCACATAGATGTATACTCTATACTTCACTCTAGCTACAACTGACATATATAGGTTCTTTGTTTGGAGTATCGCTGAAGTAAGAAATAGAGTTGATTTTTTTTTCCACACAAAGCAGCTCCCCCAGCTATTTGTGTTATGCCTAATAACAGAGCATCCATCTATACCCAAGAGAAGTGAGGTACCATAAAAAGAATCAAATCTCACACCCAACATCCCTCAAACACTCCTCCCCTTCCCCAATATCCAATGGCAACCCGACACACCAAGCGCGCGGATACTCCATCCCCCACTTCACCATAAGCGCCCTAAGATCCGCCTCATGACCAGGAACAACGTTAACAAAAACCCGATCCCCATGGGATCGCGGCTCAGAATGTACCGCACCCTTATCCTCGCCAACCCGGAAGAAAACACACTCCCCCGCTGACGCCTGCACGGTCCCATGTCTGCCCAGTTCAACGGCTAGCCGTGCTCGCACCGACTCCGCCGCCACGGCGCAGCCGACACAGCGCACGGAGACGCAGATGTGGTTTGGGTCTGCAGCGCGAGCGGCAGTTTTGACGGCTTTTTGAGTGGCGCGGGCTAGGTGGTTTGTTGCCGGTGGGATGAATAAGGTTCCTGGACCTAGGAGGGTTGTTGTGAGTTTCCAGTTTGTTGGGGTTGGGCTTATAGATGGGATTTGGGCGGTCGGGGGTGCGGGTTCTGGGTCATGCTCATGATGGTTGGTTTGTAGATTTGAGGGTGAGATTGGAGTCGAGAGGTCCTTGTTTGTTGTTGGCCCTGTCCAGGTGGATTTGAGTAGATTAGTGATTGGCGATAAGAGCGATTCACGTTTATGGGTTATTGGTGGTTTCAGCGGAGAGAAGAATAAATCGTCTGTGTGCCAACGTGGGGTATCGAATTCGTCCGAGCCTTTACTCGCTCTAATTGTGAGCCAGTAGTGGGATTGGTTGTTTTTGGTCAGGAAGTCGTGGACGTATGCCAGGAAGGAGAATAGGGAGGGCAATATTGAGCCGCTGAGCGTGGCTTCTGCCCAGGTGTTAAAGGAAGATGGCAGGTTACATGATTCAAGGGTCAAGAGGGGTCCGCAGTAAGTCCATGAGGACGAGGTGTTCAGAGTAATTGGTTCATCTGGTGGTAGTAGTTCTTTAGACTCGACTGGGTATGGGATGAATCGGAAATCTGGTAACGATTTAACGTCCATGTCACAAATATCTCTTAGCTCAAGATTTGATTCTTCAGGGGCGGTGGAACAATTTGCAAAGCCTTCCGTTCGTATAAGAAAAAAAAAAATCTATGCTCAGACCCCTAGCTCGTGCATACCATGTGACGGGGAGAATCCAGTCAATGGCCGAGCAGTTAGGGGACCCGTTGTTAGGCAGCAATACAATTATGAAAATCCAGATGAATTCCACGTACTTAGAAGGAGACTATTAGACATAGTTTTGGCTGTTGAGATGCTGTTGTGTAACAATGGCATAATAAATATTTAGTTGTCAACTGCAAGGGTATTTTGTATTCATTGGAGCGAAGAATTTTAAATTCCATCCAAGACTTCAATTTATATTGCCTTTTAACTATCAGGTATATCATAATCATTATCACATTTTACAAACCCAAGCTTAGACGTCCAAAGTACGTCCAGTACGGGAACTCTCACGAGCCAACTCGATCAAACGAATGACCTCGCGAGCCTCCGTGCCACTAGCAGGGAGATCACCCTCACCATTGAGAGCGCGAACAAGCTTGCGGTAGTACTCGGTATAGGTGGGGGGCTCCACGGTGGGAACCACCTCCTTGACAGGCTTGCCGTCGTTGATGGTAGTCAGAGTACCGTAACGCTCGCTTGGCTCACGGCCGTAACCCTTATCCTGGGGCATGATGCCAGCCTTGAGCTGATCTTCTTGGATATCAAGGTGGTACTATAAAATAATGTCAGGTTCTTACTTTTCTTTACATCGTAGTCTGCGGGAGTAGATGCTCTTACCTTCTTGAAGCTACCCTTGTCACCCCGCACCCAGAAGCGCAGCTGCTCATCCTCAGGGCTGACCACGGTCGCCTTGGCGGTAACCAATAGGCCGCTGGCATAGTGCAGCAGAACGGTGAAGGAGTCCTCATATGAAGACGAGTTGGCCTCCCGGGCGGAGCCAATGAAACCGGTCACCCGCGCGGGGAGACCGAGCAGGTGCACGGCCTGGTCAAGGAGGTGGGTTCCGAGGTCGTAGATCGCTGAGCCACCGGGGATGACCTTGTTCTTCCACTTGTGAGAGTCGGCAGCTGGCTCCTCGGGACGGTGGCGGTCGAAGTGGGTCTCATACTCGGAGATGCGGCCGAGAGAGCCGTTCTTAACGAGCTTGGAGAGGGTCACGAAGTCGGCATCGAAGCGGCGGTCTAGTGCATTGCATTAGTACGAGTAATGATAAGTCGGACGATGAAACATACTCTGGAACACGGCAAGCTGCTTGTTGTTCTTCTTCGCAATGGCGACGAGCTCATCGGCTTCCTGGGTGGTGGGGGTGAAGGGCTTCTCGCAAACGACTATATTCCACATTAGTTTCTAGATCCAATCTCTATCCGGGAGTTCTGGGCACTTACCGTGCTTGCCTGCCTCCAACGCCAGCTTGGACAGAGCGAAGTGAGAATCAGGGGCAGTAGTGATGATCACTACATCGATTGCGGGGTCCTGGACCATCTCCTCCGTGGTACGGAAAGACTTGACACCGGGGTGGTCCTTCTCGGCATCATCATCTTGCTTCGGGGTGCGCTGGACAATTGCGTAGAGCTTGAGTTCGGGGACCTCCTTCACGAAGGGGATGTGGAAGATCTTTGCGCTGAAGCCGTAGCCAACAACGCCGACATTGTAAGTCTTGCTAGCCATGATGGATTATAGATGGAGAGTTAATTGAGGGGAAAATTAGAAGCAGGGACTACTAGGTATTTATATTGGCATCGGAAATCATTTAGCGGGGGGAACGTGGGAAGGTCCTGGCGACGGCAACGTTGGCTCAAGTGGGGGGGTTTCCGCAAAGGCCGAGTCGGTTTCCCGATGTGGCAATGTTCGACTCTACTTTGGACATCAACTCGGTGCACTCTACGCCGAATTAATAATGAGTATTTCTTTTGTATTCTCTTATGACAAACAAGAGTTTATCTCACTGCCAGTGCCCATGAGCCTCTCAGACAAATGTGTAATACAGGTCTCTGATGGAGAGATCAAAGAACAATGAGCATAGCTCTTCAGGATACTGGAGTCTCTGTTAGAAAGGACCTCAGGAGCCAATGAAATGAAATGGTATGATTCTCCAGGAGACTAAAATTATTTGAGGCGGAAGTTATCCGCTAGATCTCCGCCATGATTTCTCCAACAAAAGAATCGCCCTTCCTTAGTAGCGGCTTATGCCGCTCTACAGTCCCACCTGGGCACTTGCGTCATTCACCATTTCCCATCTATGCTTCTTGCACCCCCACACACCTTGTAACTTCGACAGCATCCTGTTAATTCAACTGTTAGCGACACCGAAACCTTCTTTGGATGATTCTAACTTACCCGCAATCCTTCGGGTTGGTTAAGCTGACTCTCATACACCAAGTTCGGGTTCCCGACAAATTGGAAAGTGGGCACGTCATCTTTACCCACAAAAGACTCTACCGTCCGTTCGCCCATCCCCGTGGTGTTATATCTCTGGGAAGGTCCAGCCTTGGCCGCCTCACGTTTTTGTTCTACCGTGCTGCGGACGTATTCCAGATATGGTGGGTTGCCCGGATGAAGGACATTGTCAGCAGCGAGCACTGAACCTGGCACAATTGCCCCGAAGTGTTCACACAGCTTGAGGTCAGAGGTATACGCCGGTTTGTAATGATCAATGAAAAGCAGTTCCACTTTCTTCACCTCGCCCGAGGTGAGTAGTTTGTGGAGCGACACATCGCTTCGACCGACGATGATACGCACAAAGTCCCGCAACCCAGCTAGCTCGACGAGCATATTGGCAATTGCGGCGAACTCTGGGTTTAATTCTAGACTCAAGTAACGTTCGCCACCGTTTCGACGGACTGCATCGCCGAACAAGATCGCGGAGTATCCCACGTAGCAACCGAGTTCGATCATGGTCTTTGGCTTGAGTTCATCGATGAGGTTGGTGACGATTTTGCCCTTTTCGGCGCCAACGTTCATAAACCGGTATTGTTTCTCAAACTCGTGAATCAAATCAATCACTTTTTGGGGATGTCCCCGGATTTCATCCAGGTTGGGCTGTTCATAGATGTAATGCAGGAGCTTCAGCTCCTTGCCGGCGTCGCTCTAGAGCATGAGTTAGCGTTCATTTCTCACAGGCAGAGGGTCAAAATGCAATTCCTACCGCGGGAAGAACTGGTGTAGACATGGTGTGAAGTTAAGAGCAAGGGAATTGTACAGATGATCTAGGTAATTCCATCCGGGCATGCCAACTTATAGATGGCAACTCACCTCGGGGTTAACCCTGGACTGTGACATACTTCGGGTATAGGCAGTAAATAAGTCCGAGTCGGACCACGCACACCACTCACCACTCTTCATTCACCATTCATTAGTAGATGGCGTTATTACCATTCCAAGTCTGGAAATTCATATACCTCGGAGCTATTTCTTCAGGTAATCAGGACCGAGAGCACTAATTGATTGATAAAGGGTCGGAAACCTGATCCCATGTAGTAATTCCGGGCATTTCCTAGCCCTGGAGGTCAGATCCGAGACCCGCGCCGTTAGTTCTAAATAAATTTACCCAAAGACCCAGATCCTCCGAGATTCTTCACATAGATCGAGGTCTTTAGGTGTTTAAATGTTTAATATGGAAAGTGCATCGTCACATCGTCACACCGTACTCAATCTGCAGCCCAAGCCCCTCACTAATACCCAGCCACCGCCAAATCACATTTTCACTCCTTCTCAGCGACCATGTCCTAGGTCTACTCCAGACTAGCCTTTCGAGGTTTTTATTGTTCTCAATACCTATGGTCAAATGACCAGACACATTTATCCGTTAGTTGCGGTGAGACACAGACTCAGCATGTCAATCAAATCCGCCAAAGCTTCAGTGTCATCGGGGACTTTGTCACGAGTATTCTGGCATCTTCTTCGAATATGCCTTTCATTCTCATTGATATTTGTCGATAACACCATTCTCGTGGTCGCGGGATTATTAGCCTATCTCCGGTCAACAGCCAATCGACGCCAAGCGACCAAACGGAATGTACGCTTTTACCCGAAAACAGTCCTCATCACGGGCATAGGTACGACTCACGGGCTGAATCTGGCAAGGTCATGGGCTGTAGAAGGCCACCGCGTGGTTGGGGCCGATGTTACAGACCTAGATCTGCCCGTACGCTCCGGCGGGAGCATGTCCAAAGCCCTGGTGGCATTTTACCAGATTCCCAAGGATCATTACATCTCCCGGCTACTTGATGTTATTCACCGCGAAAAGGTCGATTTGTGGATTCCATGCTCGCCGAAGGCATCCTCCATTGAAGATGCCACAGCCCAACAGGTCGTTGAGAATCACACTAGCTGCAAGTGTATCACCTTCGACACCGAATTGGCGGCTTGCTTCGCCCATCCTGATTCTTTCAGGCAGTTTGTGATCGAAAAGGTCTTCCTGTGCTGGAATATCACAGGGTCCAATCGCGCGACTCTGTGCACAAGATCTTGCACCGGTCGCCCTCCAAGAGCTACCAGATCTTCCGAGCAGCTCCATCTGCGAATGAGAAGGCTATGCTCTTACCAAGACGTACGCTGAGCAAGACATATACGGTAGTTAGCGAGATTCAGATATCCCAGGATCGGCCCTGGATTCTGCAGCAACAATCTCGTCTCGGAGAGATATTCGCAGACCTACTGATTGTGCGTGGCCACGTTCAAGCCATCAAGGTTCGGGTTTCAGATTCTGGTTCGTCTACGTGGGGTGCATCACGTTTAGATGAGGCTCTGGCCGCTTCGGTTCATAGGCTCATGCAGATATTTGCTGCCAAGGGTGGTGTTCGCTTGACAGGCCATCTCTCCGTCAGACTCATGGTCGACGAAGAGTTCGACGCGCATTCTGTCCGACACACTATCTACATCGCCGGCTGTACATCTGGCGCCAAAACCGTCGATAACTTGCTGTATGATGTACCTTGCCCCATTGCAGGGTATCTATCTGTGTTCCCTTCCAATCCAGCCGATACAGCCAACATCGCACCCACACTGTCATCAACCCGTTCAGCCCCAACATTTGCCCGAGCCGCCATTCTTCCCGCTGCTTTCTTGCAGTTTTCGTTGTTTCACTTTGCGCTCACGGCTCTTGAGGTTGTTGAGGCAGAGCTAGTGAGACTGTTGTTCTGGAAAGATCCCCTGTTCTCTTTTCTTGATCCGGTTCCCTGGTGGTGGCAAGTTCATGTCTATCAACCTTTGCGCGAGATCTGGGTGTTGATGAAACAAACACGAGAAGCAGGATTGACTTGATATATGTCCTTTATGTATTTCCCTTTATCTTAGCATGAGTATACGAGAAACGAGACTATGATGTCAAGTGACAGACATGTGCCAAGCAAAGTGTGGCGGAGTTCCCGAAATAGTAACGGGCTGTCGCCTGGGCGATGTGGAGGACGTACGTATACCCTATAGAAACAAGAGGATCGGGCAGAGAGATTAATAGTCGCATTGAATATTGAACTCTTCAATTTACATATCTCTCTACCGTTCTGGTTATAATAGTTTCAAAGTTGCGACATTGCGACGGAAAATCGAACAGAAAAAAACAAAACAAAACAAACCGACACTTTTCTCCACGCAGCCTCAGCCCGGCCAAGACAGACCCCCCCAGGTCTCATTCTTCAGGTCTCGACTCTGTTCCTGTCTCATCTCTCACCTTTTTTTTTTTTTTTGTGCCGTATGACTTCACGATAGACTATCTCCTCACTCCGAGACCAACCCCTCCCTTCCCTCTGGGCCATCAAAAGCGCAACTCCCTTGCAGCGCTCCTACACATAAGATGATGTTTCAAATGCCGTCAGGCGGAAGCCTCGGACGGACGAAAAACATAATACATTTCGTACAAGGATTCATTATCTTCCTTGCATGGGCATTAACCATCGCTATATGGACTAAAGGCGACGGCATCGATGGACGCACAGGCTGGTACTGGGGTCTGGTGAGTCTTCTATTCCTACGTTTCTGATATTTAAAGAGTTCTTTCATTCTGACGTACCATTACATGGCAGTGCTGGTTGAGTATTCCTGGTCTGGTCTACCTGGTGGCAGTGCCAATGTGGCCACGTGCCCGACGCTTCGGTAACGTGTATGCCTTCGCCTGTGTCGACATTCTCTACGCGATTCTTTGGCTCAGTGCTTGGATCTGTCTCGCCTCCTATGTCGCCCAAGGAAAGTCCAAGGGCTCAAGCAGCTCCGACGACAAGTCCAGCTCGGACTCCAAATCAACCACCAAAAGAGCCGACGACACGAGCACCAAGACCGGATGCGATAATTGGGCATACGGAAGCTCTGCCAAGTGCAAGCTGAGCGAGGCAACTACAATTATTGGTGTTTTCATTTTGTACGTGAATCCCTTCTAACTCCGCGACACAGCGGTCCTTTGAGTGACACTAACAACCAAAACAGCATCCTCTTCGCCATCACCGGCTGGATGTCCTTCCGCAACGTGGTGCACTTCCGTCGCACCGGAACTCTCCCGGACGCCGTCTCCGATCCTACCTTCGCCGCGCAGAGCAAAGCCGCCTTTTCGTCGAACCCAGCCCACGACTTCGAGGAGGATGACGATGACATGCGTTCCGGCCAAGGCGGCGGCATGGGCGCCTCGTCCCGCGGCGACCGCGATGAGGACTATGCGCTCCTGCACCAGAGCGAGGTGGATGACCTAGGCAGCTCACACGGCCGGACCGCGATGCAAGGCTCCTACGATCCCACCGCCCCGGCGCCCGGAGGCATGCTCCATGATTATAACAACACCGGCTACGGTGGTGCGCATGGCCAGCACTATACGGAGCCTTCTACTCAGTACAACCCGTCGGATTACACCCCGTCTGAGTATACTGCTCCCACTGGGTTTAACGGCTCGTCGGTAAACTACGGTCGACGGCCGAGTTAAGTACAGGGTGTTTTCAGTGTACATGGAGGCATAGCTCAATGAAATACCCGGAGGATTGATGAGTTGTCTTGCTTTTTTTTGCGCCTTGGATATTGACCATAGAGCGGTGTTGGGCGCATCGCTGTTTACTCTGGGCTGATGCCCTTGTCTTTACTATGTTTCTCAGTGGCCTTTTGGCCCTGTGATTACGATTATATGTCCTGCTTTTGTTAAATTGGATCTAGCAAAATATAGATGTATTGCATTGTAAAATTATATGTTCCAGTGGTGTTTTGTAGAATAGAATACATTGGTGGACAATATATATGTAGGTGACATCTCCGGGCTGAGATATGATCACTCTGCCCTAGAAAATATATCTTTTTTTCGAAAATATGAAGCCATGGCATCCTCACATTTTCATGATCTTATCACATTAGTTACCTTTTCACCTTTCATGGTGGCTCATAAGAAGAGGGAAATAGTTTAGATAGCACCAGGTACCAGTATTCTGCCACCGCTTTTTCATATCAGCGGGTTTATGGACAGCTTGCCCTCTTGCCATCATCATCTCTTGACAAGTACAAACCCGAATATTGACCTCAAAGTGAGCCTTGCTTTGTGGAAAGACTAGACAGTACATCCAGAACTGTACCTTGTATGAATTAACCCATTCCTCCATCAGACCTTCCCATTCCACCACCGAAACCCTACCCAGTCACACCACAGCGCATATACTAACAACCTGAGAAGCAACAACCGACTTTAAAACGCCAACACCGAGACCTCCGGTCTCCCCAACCCCAAAATGGCCAGTGAAATCGATATCTACAACCAATACCCATTGTATATGGACCCAGCCACCAAAGCTCTCTCACTCCCACCCTCATCCGCCCAAACACCCTCCCAAACAGCCGCAATCAACGCCGAACTGGAAGAACTGAACCAACTACACCGCGCCCTAATCAGTCTCGACCCACCCAACATCCCCCCGGCGCCTCTCCCCGTAAACCCCAAGCGCAGCGCACAGATCTCCAAACTCCGCGACAGCGCCAACACCGCCCACCGCAAATCCAACTACGAAGAGGCAATTAAGCTGTACTCGTACGCCATCGACATGGGACTCAGCCGACCGGGCTGGGAGCCTATTGGCGTTGCACGCGAGGAGTTGTCTGGTCTTTATGCGAACCGCGCGCAGGCACACATGGCGTTGCAGGCTTGGCCTGATGCGTTGGTCGATGCTAAGGCGAGTGTTGACTCGAAGCCTGTTGGGAATGTTAAGGCTTGGTGGCGTATTGCTAAGTGTCTTGCGGAGATGAGTCGCTATGAGGAGGCGCGCAGGTTCTTGCATAAGGCGCTGGATATTGAAGGGAAGGATTCTGAGGGTGGGAAGGAGCTGTTTGCGTTGCTTGGGGAGGTTGATAGGGCTTTGTTGCGGGGATTGTCAGCTTAAAATTGGTCTATGTTTTTCGTTTTTGCACAGCTGGCCTTTTTGTTTCTGTGTGTTGGCTAGACTGTCTTGAGGCTTTTATGGTTTATTTGGTTTTGACTGCATGATTCCCTCCCTGCTGGGATGTTTCGAGGCGTTTATGTGATTTATATGTTGACTCAAGACACCTTCTGTCCGTTCATCTTCGCCGTTACTTGCATCAAGATTTATTATTCTTGTCACCTTTCAAGCTTGAAAACGAACCACTAAGCCTTAAAGGTGGACCTACGACGTCCCGATTAGGCAAAGTATGGCCCTTGAGTTAGTTCCTTTTCAGTTGCCTTTGCTTTTCCACAAACAGATAAAAAGGTTCTTCATATAAGATAAAATAATAAGAGGCTAGTAGCTTTACAAATAAGAAAAGTTAGGTCAAACCCCGTCTAATATATATAAAGTCATCACCTAGGTATACAACGCAGCTACCCAAGTAGATTCATTTCTTTCCAGTCTTTTACTTCACACCATCTCCATCACCTTCAGGGCTACCTAGGTACCTATGTATATACCCTTCGTTACTTCGTCTAGCTATCAAAATGAAGATCATCCGATTATCATAATCATTTCAAGGTTCTCTTCTTCACTTGGCAAGTAAGTAATCGTGGAAGAGTCAGATCCATTGCAAAAAAAAAAGACCTCGCGATTAATTAAATGACCAGGGCACTTTTATAGGGCTTCGCTCCCACTTCCCTGCATTGGGCATATCGCGATTCCCGAGTAAGGAAAACACCGGAGAAGCAAGTCCTGATAATGGAATGTTAGTTGTGAACAAACGAGATTCCTCTCCCACTTTGTCGCACCGGAACACCATACTCACATGGCATATGCGAGATCGTGTGGGGGATGCGTGGGTGAACAAGAGTACCACAAGCAATGAGTCTCATTCGGCGCTACAGCTGAATGTGGAAAAACTCGAAGCTCAAGTGGAACAGGAGGATAAAACCTGAATTGTACGAATGGCTTCCCTGAAGTTCTCCTCACTTTCTATGCTGGTTCGCTTCATGTTCATTGGAGCTCAAATTCTAAGCCCTCTTATTTCTCTTTTCTGTCTTTCCCGGGATCTGATGGACGATACCAGCGCTCGTTTTGAATGTCTAAGATCTCTCGATCGCTCTGGTGTGTGTAGTTGATGTTTTCGCTTACACGATTAATACTATATTAACTTGTCTCCGGTCTCTTTAATACCCCGAGACAATGGCGACATGGTGTGCAAAAGATAGCCAATCTTCATAAAGAGTAGAAAAATAAGCTGGATTCCAGAAGATCTAAAAGGGAAGAAAGGTAATTTATATACAAGTGCACGCTGAGAAAACCACTAATCCAAAGCAACATCGAATCTCATCAGATCAAACCAAAACACTAGATCCATCACTCTTCTTGCAGGCACAAGAGCTGGTGTTAGCAGCCACCTGGGTCGGTGTACTCGCAAAGCTAGGAGGCACATCAAGGACCGGGTTTCGGTCAAAGAAGTTGCGAGGACGCAGAAGAAGTGTCATTGGCTCCGCAGGCATGATCGGGTAATCCTCCGGCGCGGGGAAGTGTGTCAGGCCGAAAGTGTGCCAAAGTACGACGTCGGTGTTATCAATAGAGCAATTGGGTCCAGCGGCTTCGATCCACGCAGGTAGACCCTCCGAGGGTTCGCCGGAGGTCTGTGGGACGTGGCGACCAGCTGGGTGGACTTGGTCGTCGTCATCTAGAGAACTTGGTCAGAAAGGGAACAAGGTATAAGAAGGGGAAATGGAAAAACTCACATTTAGTGACATGGACGGCATGGCGTGCAAAGCCAGCTCGCTTCCAGACTAGTCCGCCTGCCTTGGGGAGCAGGGGAGGAACATCACGGCTCACGAGCTTGTAGCTGACGGGCTTCTTGCTATATGGGTTCAGCTTGTTGGTATTGGCCATATCCCAGGTACGGCTGGTAGACCCGTCATAGTCGGACATTGCCTCGAGGGGTGTGGAGTACTTTGTCTTTTTGGCGTAGAAGGCGTTTCCATACTTGTTTTCAGCACTGCCGACTTCACCGGGTCCTTGCACTGCATCTACCTGGAAAACGGTATTGCTTGGCCCGTCGATGTTCGGGTCTACACGGAGACAGAACAGGTGCTGGTGGTTGTGGGCGTTGACACCCGGGTACACCTCAGTTCCCCAGCCCTTGGTATCCTCGCCAGGGTTCATGGCATAGGTGTTGAGGATTCCAGTCAGCTTAATCTCGAGTTGAATTGTACCGTCCTGGTGGAAGATCCAGTACACACAGTACTCGTAGTTTGCTGCGGTGAAGATCTGCGAGATGATGAGCTTTCGGCCGCGAGTTACGACCATCGACTCGTCGCGGAAATCAGTGTGCTTGAATAGGATGCCGGCGTCTTCTTCATGGATGCAGATGGCGTTCTTGATGATTGTGCTGGCGCCGGCACGGTTGACGAATGCCGCGTCCATGTAGTGGATTGCGCCCTTGCAGTCGCATCCAAGTGTCAGGCTGTTGGTCATGTATCCGCCGCCGTACTCGCCCAGGTCGAATGCGTGCTTGCGTTGGTGGGGATGTTCCGGGTTACCATATGGCACGACCATCTCGGCCAGTGAAAGACGCCAGAAGACAGGACGCACATTGCCCTTGTCGTTGAATGTGATGTTGTTCAGGACAATTCCTTCGCGGTAGTTGAAGCCGACGTGGATGTTCCAGTTCTGCCATTCGATCGTGCGCCCCTTGATCTCGAAAGACACACCCTCTGGCTGGGTGATGTGAATTGGCTTAAGATCGGTGCGGTATCCACCTTCTTTCTCGATTGCGGCTGGGTGGTAGTTGTTTGGAGCGGCCTTGCTGACCGGTCTCCGTACAGGCGGGACGTCAATGTGGATGATCTCCTTGGTCTCGGCGTTATAGATGGGGCAGAAGTCCAAGGGATAGGTATATTGGGAGTCATCGGGGTGAGGGCGGTAGTACATAAGGGCTTGTTGAAGACGGACACCAGTTCCAAATCGCTCATCGTATCCAATTGTCCATGCTAGAATGCCATTCGATTAGTATCAATCTCCAATAAATGAGCGAAATCCACTTACGGTCACAGTAGACTTTGTGCATATCCTCCTTCGGAATTCCAATAATACCGCATTGCTCGATGACCTTAGCATCCTTGCGTACAATATGTTCAACCTCCTGCAAATCCTCCATGGTAATCAGAGGCTGAACATTTGGTGTATGTTGCCACTTGATGATCTTCTTCTGGTCCAGATCAACCACACCATCGTAGATCTTACCGCCAGGCGCAATGGCAACAATATCAGCGGCTCGAGTCGGGCGAGGAGCCTTCTCTGGATCAGCCACCCAGGCCATCATCTGGGCCTTACGGGGCTCATATAGAGTGACCGCATTGAAGTTGAGCGAGCCATGCTCTTTGCGGACAATGCTAACAACCGCATCAATTTCCACTGTGGAAAGGGGATCAAGTGGGTGAGGCAGCGGCGCAGTGGCGCTGACCTGATGAGTCAATTGTTGTAGTCGGTCGAGAACCATACTGTGCGAGAGAGATATAGATGGTGATGATTTCAATGTGATGAGGGCAAAGCGCCAACCAAGTCAATCAGTCGCTAGAGAGTGGAAGTCAATAAACCTGCTTGAGTTCTCCTTCAGATCCGGGCCTGCAGACTATTTAACAAGTAAGTGGTATCTCCATATGTCCATAGCGTTGGAGGTATACTTCCATCCGATTAGATAAAGCCTATTTGCGGAGGCCGGATCCGATGTCCTGATTTGGATTAGCGCGCTATCTCCAATCCCAAAAGGGCCAAGAGATGCGTGTCTGCATCTGGATATTGATATCGTCTCTACATTATTCATGTCGTTTGTCACATCGCGGGGTAGAACTAGACAATTCGCATGAGCGTCCTCGATTGGGATCGCACACTCGACCTCAATGACAGTTTGGAGCTGCGGGCTGTGTCAACTGAGAAGATGCCTAGATATGTTGAGAATATCCCATAGGATGTTACGAAGTCCATTGGGACAAGCCGAAAGGAGCCCATGAATCTACAAAACCAGGCCTTATTGAGCGAACAGAAGCCATAATTCCTATACATAGGACACAGACAGGTCCGATCTAGCTACAAGGAGAAAAGAAAAAAAAGCGACCTAGATCACAAGAACGAAAGGCACAAGGCCACAATAGAGCCTATCAACGCCTCGTAAATGGATTCAAAACCAGCCATATCAAACGCCAGGCACCTTCCTGCCTAACACCTTCATCCAGACGTAAGAACCCGGCACAGGGAACGAAACCTACGCAAGGCCATAGGCGTGAAGACAATGCCGAATATTGAAGAAAAAGAACATGATGTTCTCGTGTCTATGTACATACATCACATCATATCAACCCCAGGTGCTTCAGGGACTGTGTCTCATGCCCGGCCCATTTGATAGGCTCCGGGAGTCGGGGCATTGTAGCCAGCTCCGTGGTTCTGCGGTGTGTGGGCGCCAGCTCCGTGAGACCCAGTATTGGGAGTGCTGGGGGTGCCGCCCGAGTAAATGGTGGCACCATTGAGGTTTGGTGTTTGCTGGGCCATGTTGTAGGCTACTGCGGGCATTTGTCCGTTGAGGCCCCAGATTTGGCCGGAATATTTGCTGTCGTCAATTTCCCCTCCGAAAATGAGTTGGCGCGTCTTCCAGTAGATCTCGCCGGTCACTAGGGAGTCTGAGCCAGCCTGGTGAGCAATTCCAACGCGTTTGACACCAAGTTCATCGGCAATGTCTTGCAAACCAGATTTCTGGCCTAGGTTGGTCAGAATCTGTGCTGCAGCCTGGGTGAGAGGAGAACCGTTGACGGCCTGATTGCGACCGGCGTGCTTCATGAGGTACTTGATGTCGTAGAGTGATGGGAAGAAGATGGTGAGAAGCTTGTGGAACTCCTCTTCATTTTCAGGAAGCTGGGAGCACAGCATGATCTTCATCAAGTAGCCAAAGTCGTACCCGGAGT